TGTGACGGGGTAGAGCCATAACCTCCCCATCGGCCCTGCCCTGAGTGTGAGAGTGGTGGCGCCCCAACCCCCTCATGGGCCCCGCTCTGTGTGCGACAGGGGGCAGTGCCCCAACCCCCAGATTGGCCCTGCTCTGTGAGTGACAGGGGGCAGTGCCCCAACCCCCTGATTGGCCCTGCTCTGTGGGTGATGGGGTGGCGCTGCAACCTCCCCATCGACTCTGCCTTGAGTGTGACAGGGGGCGGTGCCCCAACCCCCCAATCGTCCCTACCCTGAGTGTGACTGAGGGTGGCATCGCAACCTCCCAATCCGCCCTGCCCTGTGCATGACAGGGGGTGGCACGCTGCTCTGAGCCCGACCAGGGGCTGCACCTAGGGATTGGGCCTGCCTCTGCCACCCGGGAGCAGGCCTAAGCCAGCAGGTCATTATCTCCCGAGGGGTCCCAGACTGCGAGGGGGCACAGGTCGGGCTGAGGGACCCCCCCTCCCCCCCGAGTGCACAAATTTTTGTGCACTGGGCCTCTAGTTTAGTTATAATGGACAAAGTGACATTAGCTTTTCTTACTTTCCTATAAAATAATATGTGTTGGCTTTCTATTTTCAGTGATGCTGAGCCAGATTATACATAATATAATACCGTCATTTGGAAAAACTAAAATACACATAAATTTGGTTTTGTGGTTTTCATCAATACATAAAGAAAGTGATATAGATATACAAATAGATTCAGGTACAGATCTAAAAGCTTTGTAGAAAAACTTTTGAAGAATTACTAGGGCAAAGTTAAAGAAAAATTTAATGTAAGTAAGGTTAAGTTACATTTATTTTGTGGGCATGCTAATATAAGAAAATTATTAAATTTGTTTGAACACATATACAGAAATAAGATTCAGAACTGGAACAGTGCTAAGGGTCTAACATAAGGCCCTCCCCACAATAACCATGACTGTAAAAATAACACCTTCTGGATAAGAGGTAACTTGAAGTGTTTTTCCCCCCTATATTGTAATTGTCACTTGTTTCAATCACCTAGGTCATAATATGTTAAGTATGAATCTTAAGTTATGGTTTTAGGATAAGGTATTTTCTACAGAAAATAATTAGAAACAAAAATAACTGTTTTGAAGAAGCTGTTTATCATAACGATCACATTATTGTAGGTAGCATTGTATACCAGTAGGGAAATGACCATCATTCTTAATGAGTAACAAATCAGAAGAAAAATGATATCTACAAGGGAAAAAATTATATCATTGCCTTTCATCTTACATAAATCTAAAATTCTAGTAGATTAAATAAAATGTATAGAAAGGGAAAGCCATACAGCTACATATGGTAATACAAAACAATTAATTTCTTTAGATAAAAAAATGTGTCCTGAAGAATATTGAAGCTTCATCTATGAATTTAAAAACTGATAAAATGTACTATATTATATTTAGAGCATTTGTCTAGACATCCTAAAGAGATAGAAAATACAAGCCACAGAGCAGAGAAAATTATTTGTTACACATATCACTGATAAAAGCTAGTATCCAAAAAATGTAAACTACACAACTCAATCATGAGAACACAATCAATCTAGTGGAAAATTAGTAAAAGATTCAATCAGATGCTTCATAGGTTATAAAATTTAACCATATGAAATCATACTCCATTATGTTTCTAATAATCAGAGAAATATTTACCTAGAACAATGTGGATGAGCCTTGGAAAAATCTTGAGTAAAACAATTAAGATAAATAATTAATGACATTGCTATGATTTCTTATAACATATAACTCAAAAAGAGAGGTAGAAATTGACTATATTATTTTTGATAAAAACAAGAAAAAGAAAGAACTCTTCCATTAAAAGTAGATTATATTTAACTTAATGAAGAGTCACCTAATCAGCAATGCAACTAAAAGTTTGCTTCAGGCCGAAACCGGTTTGGCTCAGTGGATAGAGCGTCGGCCTGCAGACTGAGGGGTCCCAGGTTCGGTTCGGTTCCGGTCGGGGGCATGTGCCTGGGTTGCGGGCACATCCCTGGTCGGAGATGTGCAGGAGGCAGCTGATCGGTGTCTCCCTTTCATCGATGTTTCTAACTCTCTATCTCTCTCCCTTCCTCTCTGTAAAAAATCAATAAAATATATTAAAAAAAAAAAAGTTTGCTTCAGGTGTGACATTTTCTATTTTTTGAACTGAGTAGTATTTATGTGTATGTTTGCTATATAATTTTTTGTCACACTGTCCAAGTACATTCTATGCTGTTTTCAATAAATTTATTTACAAAAGTGAATGCTTTAAAAAATAATGTACACATCAAGAGTTTTTAAAAATTGTGCAATTTTAATGAAAAAAATGTATTACAGTTTTATATATAGATAACTTTTAACAACTCAAAAATACTAACTTGTCTATAATTATATATATATATATGTTATTCTTTAATTACAATCTAACATCACTATTAATCACATCAGTGTTGAAAAATACTAAAATTACTTTCAATTTCAAAAAGAATTATCATATTTATGGTGAAGGCAAGTCTGCAAGTATTAGATCTATTTTGAAAATCAATAATAAAAAGTAGCACATTAACCATATTAAACCACATGCAAAATACAGTTATATTCATTTTTAAAGGTAAATAAAAATTGGATCAATAAACAAGAAAATAATGGTTAAAAATAATTTTTACGTATGTTTTTAAAGGACTATCTGATTTACAATTAAGGTAGAGCCAAATATGTGTTGATAGAGCTGAGAAAATTGCTCATTATATGGTGAAAATAAAGGTAAATAGCCTTTTATATGTATATTATCAATAAAGATGAATCTAAAATGTTATTATGCAAAAATAAACTCTAAAACTAACCTAAATTCAGAAAACATAGAAAATTCTCTTATGTGCCTGAGTTGAAGGGGGAGCAGGCCCTAAAAATAATAAAACCCACAAACCAAATTGTGGATTTCAATACCACAATTAATGTTTAAGAACAAAACAGAATATAATAAAAAATGGGTACCTTTAGAAAACTTACATTATTAGACAATGATACCTATATTGAGCAACATTCACTTAGAAATAGACTAATACAGTGAATACTTAAAGTAGTAGATTAGTAATGCTACTTTCACGACTTAAAAATAGCCCTATAATAACTTAATTCTTCTTATTACTATCCATTCACTCTTCACAAATGATAAAAGAGCAGTTTAAAAAGTTGAAATTTTATAAGGTCACACCATTAGTCAGGAACAAGAGCTATTTGAACCCAGGCAGCCTTATTCTATCATCAAAGTTTGAAACATATTAGCTATGAGAGATCAATCAGAAGAACCTTCACATCATGTAAGATAAGTTAATTAAGGCCCAGATATTCTTAGTATATGGTTCCACCTGACACCAAGAAGGACAGATTTTCATACCTTTATTGGATTGTCAGTAAAACTCACAGGCAGAGGCTGTTGCTCAAACAGAACTAAATGCAGCATAGAGTTGCAATATCTCACATTCCAGGGTGTGATGCCATGCTCTGTAGCTTCCAATTCCTTTGTCAGCTTTGGATGACTTATCTATTATTATGTGTATTTAACTTCTCTCATACTATAAACATTAGTTCAGCAGTGTACAAATACTTAAATTCAAAGGCCAAGTAACACAGTGCAATAAATACACATTGCATTTTCTTTTCTTTTTTAAAATTTTATTAGTTAAGGTAATACAACTGTGTCCTCATCCCCCCAATTAACCCCCAACACTCCCCCTCCCCGCCCCACACACTCATGCTCCCACTCCCCTGTTGGTTTGGCTTATATACATGTGTACAAGTCCTTCAGTTGATCGCATTTTCTACAACTCCAAAGCTTATATATTTTAATGATGGGACTGTGAGAATCTAGGTTGCAACATCCTAATATATAAAAAGCCAGGGGCCATCATGACTGAAACAACTGGTCAGATGACCAAACAGCAGGCTGTGTGGGTCAACAAGGCAGGCAGGGGGTTAGTGAAGGACAACCAAACGACTGAACAGCAGGCTGTGTGGGGTGACTAAGCCAGCATTGGGGGCAGTTGGAGGTGATCAGGCCAGCAGGGGGGCCTTTGGGGGTGACCAGGCTGGCATGGGAGGCAGTGTGGAGTGATCAGGCTG